CACTAGGTAAGAGTGAAATGCTTTACATAAGGGGAAAAAAAAATTAAACCTGTTATATCTTAGTGGTTCCCTTTTAATTCTGAATTCTAACCCTTCTTCTATCATTCTGATTAGTCTTGCTTAGAGCCTCTTTTTGTTAGGGTTTCAGCCCCACTCCCCAAAAAACTAGCTTTTGGATTTGTTGAGCTACTCTCTTGTTTCTAATCTTATTATTTGCTTCCACCTACTTTACTTTTATGAATTCTTTGGCTTCTTGAATTGAATGCTAAATTAGCTTATTCCAATTTTTCTTAAAAAAAAAATCACTCAAAGGTACAAATTGCTTATAAAGAGAGCTTCTGTGGCACCTCACAAGTTCTGATATGATATATACATATGAATATTTTTAGTGCCACTGATACATATTTATTTAATTTCTTTCTTTAAGCCAAAAATTATTAAGAATTTTGTTTTTGCATTGACCCATGTCACTTTAGTTTTGTGTATTTCACTGTACATAAATTACATTTCAATAAAATGCATTAAAAAAAAGAATTTTGTTTTTTAGCTTCCACCCTTCTTTGTTAAATAATCGTTCATTTTTTAAATTTCTAATTTAATTGCATTACGGTTTCAGAATATGGTCTATATGATGTAGAGTCTCAGTTGTCACTTAACATCCTTTGTTGTCTAGTATATAATCAATAGAAATTGCTTCCTGTTTTTGAAAAATCAGAAATTATGGGGATTAAGCACCATATGTCTATTAGATCAAACTTCTTAAATGAATTGTTCAAATCTTATGTTCTTACCACCTTATCTGATTGGCCTTTCAGTTTTTGATAGAGGTGTGTTTAGATCTCCAACCATAAATTTACCTTGCAATTGTTTTGCATTTTATATTTCAAATGTGTGCTCATAGGAGGAAGTGAAAATAGGCCCTTGTAGTCCATTGTATTCGTATTATTTTTTTCCTACAGTCTGTATCTATACTAACATTAACATGCCAGTTTCATTTTGATTAGTATTTGCAAGCTGTATCTTATTCCATCTCATTATTTTAAACTTCTAGGAGCTCTGGTGGTGTAGTACCTAAGGCATTTGACTACTAACCAGAAGGCTGGTGGTTCAAACCCACCAACCACTCCTCGGAAGGCTGGGCAATCTACTTCCATAGTGATACTGCCTCAGAAACCCAAGGAAGGGTCACTATGAGTCAGATCTGAATCGATGGCAGTGAGTGATGTGTGAGTGTGCATGAGATTACAGATTTGGGAAGAATTAACATCTTTATGTATTGAGTCTCATCCATGCACATGGACAATGTGTCCATGTATTTAAGTCTTCAATAACATCTTCTAATTTTATCCTCAAAGGCCACATACATCTTTTGAGAAATTTGTTCCTAAGTACTTAGTACATTTTTTTGCTAGAAGTTTTTTTTTTTTTAATTTTCAAACTACGCTATTAGGTGCACTACATTTTAACATGTATATTTATGATTTTATATTACAGTCTAAATTCTTCAATATATCTACCAACCTCCTAAACATGCAACTCATGAAACAACTACTACTATCTTCTTATTGTCTAGTTTTACTTTAGCCTCTAAGATTAAAAAAATGCAAAGAAATTCCTTTCCTAACAGTCCATAGTTAATTAAAATTTACCAACTTTTAAAAAAGAAATCTTTGTGTGTGTGTGTGTGTGTTGTTCTTTATTCAACATGCCATGCCATTTAGTTCATTTCTCTCTTGTTACTAGTTCACCCCTTACTAGGGATTTGGTGTGAGACTGTATGGATAATAAATGCTCTTTAGTCTTAGTCGGAAGGAAGACTGGGCAATATACTTGCATAGAAATACTGCCTCAGAAACCCAAGGAGCGGTCACTATGAGTCAAATCAACTCAACTGCAGTGAATTTGGTTTTTGGTATTTTAGTCTTAGGAGCTCTGGTAGCATAGTGGCTAAGGCACTTGACTGCTAACCAGAAGGCTGGCGGTTCAAACCCACCAGCCACTCCTCGGAAGGAAGGTTGGGCAATCCTACTTCCGTAGTGATACTGCCTTGGAAACCCAAGGAGGGGTCGCTATGAGTCAGGGCTGACTCGACGGCACATAACAACAAATAACAACAACATATCTGAAAATGGCTTTACTTCATTCCCACGCTTGGATAATATTTTGCTGGGTATGAAGCTTTAGACTAACTTATTTTCCCCCACCATGTAGTTCTTCTATTATATAATGTTGCTGAGATGTGTGCTACCAGTTTGTTATTCCTTTTCAGATTATTTTTCTGATAGTTGTTCAGATTTTTTCCTTGTACTCAAAGCTTAAAGCTATTGTATTATGACGTATCTGGAATAAGTTTATTTTCATTTTTCCTGGTCAGTTTTGTAATCTAAGGGCTCATGTTTTTCTCTAATTCTGAAAAATTACTATTTTTTCTATTATTAGCTATTTTTTCTATTATCTTCTAGGCTTCTTATTCTATATGCATAAAGCCTTTCAATCTATTCTCTGTTTCTTAATTGTTCCTTCCCATTTCATCTCTGTGCTGTGTTGTGTTTGTGTCAAACTAGACTTTCTCTGAGCTGTTACTTTTAATTCAAATACTATTTTTTTTTTAATTATTTCTTTATTGTGGTAAATATACATACATATATATATGTGTGTGTGTGTGTGTGTATATATATATATAAACAAAACCTTTGCCATCTCAACATTTTTACATGTATAATTCAGTGACATTAATTATATTCATCATGTTGTGCAATCATCACTATTTTTGATTCCCCAATTTTTCTATTATCCTTAGCAGAAATTCCAGTGCCCTCTAAGCAATGAAATGGTGTCCTCTTCCACTCTCATCCTTGGTAACCACTAATAAACTATGGTCTCTATACATGTGCTGATTCTAGATATTGCATATAAGTGGGGGCATATATTTGTCCTTTTTAAACTGACTTACTTCACTTACTTAGCATAATGTTTTCAAGGTTCATCCATGTTGTAGCATGTATCAGGACATTTTTCATATGGCTGAATAATACTCTGTTCTATGTATGTGTCACATTTGATTTATCCATTCATCTGCTAATAGACATTTAGCTTGTTTCCATCTTTTGGCTGTTGTGAATAGTGCTACAATGTCCATGGTTTTTAATTAGTGGTTTTTCATATTTATTTATTCTTAATTCATTCTTATCTGGTTTTATTTCACAATTTTTTTAAAAAAAGATGTGATTCTGTCATTAATGTTTTCAGTATTCTAACCATACTTATTTGAAGTCTTTATCATAAATGAGATGAATTCATATTCTGTCTGGTTGTTGACTTTATCAGCTCTCTCTCCTAGCAACAGATTTCTTCATTAAGTGTTCGCGTTTTGGTATACAGGTCTTTAAATTAGAAGTTACTATTTTTCTACTTTGACTCTGGTGATCCCTACATCTCTTTTTGTCCATTATATGTGAAGTTGCTTCCACTCAGGCTTTTGAGCCCTCAGTCCATATCCAGATCTTAATGATGGTAACACTGCAACTATTATAGATGAGGTCACTAAAGTAGTAGCCAGGTAGTTCAGTTACTGGTAGTCTGGCTGTATCTGTGTTCATATGTCTATAATCTAGATCAGACATAGATCCACCATAAAGCAGCAAATGTTTTTTTTAATTTTTTTTTCCAACTTCCTTTCCCAAGAGGGGAAGTTGTAGCTTAGCCCTGGCTTCAAGTAGTGAGCATGGCTCTATTTGATTCCTTATGTGATTATAGGAATCCAATTCCTGGCCACTACTACCTACATCTTGTTATATAGAACAGCAGGCTCATAAACTCAGCTCTGCTCGTTGCTGTGCATTTCTTTTCTCCTTATGGCACAGAACAACGTCAGTTTTACTTAAGAGGTCAGCCATGCCATTTTGATATTTTTCATATTCATTTTCAATTATTATGTGTCTGGCACAGAGTATGTAGCAAAATATACAGTTACTATGATGTTTTGAGACTTTATTGATTTTTACAAAATCAGAACAGTGAAAATTAACATAATGAATATATACCTATATCCCTCACTTATCGACTATCTCGTTATCCAGTATTTTGCATTTACAACAATAGTGAAAAATTTATCCAATTATTTTGCACATTAACAATGTACATATGTCAATAATGAATGGTGAGGTGCAAGGCAGAAGGAATGCTGGCTGTGACACTTTACATTATGTGTCAACTTCTCTGGGCTGTGATTCTCAGTGGTTGGTACTTATGTAATGTTATAATTTGGCAGTTATGCAATGATGTAGTCATCTTCCATCTTGTGCTCTGGCGTGATAATCCTCCATTTTCGCACAATGCTGATTTTCTCATAAAGACTTGGTGTTTGGAATCTAACCATGTTGATAGGTGAGGAATGGATATACTGCTGTACAAAAATGGCAATGCTGTCAGTTTAACTGTGGTACAGAAGACAGTGTCACCAGGTGACAACTCAAAATGTTCATTCCTAAGCTTCTCATCAATAGGATGACTCCACTATACAAAAAAATGATTTAGAGATGTTAATGTTTTACATACATAGATAAAACTAAAACCAAAGAATAAGAGTTTAAAGTACCTGGAATTACAAGAGTAACTCAATTTTATTAAAAAAAATGGTATTAAAAGTATGTTAATTCCCAGTACTTACCAAAATTAAAGCAGTGAAATATGGCACCTAAGTCTCTTAAACTACTAATTCCATACTACATTTTTCAATGCAGAGTGATTTCTTTTAAACTTGGCCAAATTGCTATCAGGTCCTTAAACAATTCTATATTTATAAACATGTAACAAGCATTTTTCTTAATCAAGTGGAGGTTTGAAAAGCTGAATGTAAGCATAAGTATCCATAATTGTTAGGAAAGTCCTAAGGAGTAAGTTAAGAATGTAATTTTTTCTAATAGGATTGTAGTTGTAAATTCAAAATTCAATTATACATGCAACAGTTCAACAAATACTTAAAACATATTATCACCTACCTTCTTTATCACCTCGAGTACTACCCACAAGGAATCTGGACACTAAAGGTGTGCTTGATAAGGATAAACAAGTAGAAATAAAGACACTCTGAGTGGCTCTGATCTGTAACAAGTGTCCCCACAATAAGCCAAATCCAATCATTAATAGGGTCATATAACATGGTCCTTGTAAGGATATCTTCCACACCTTAAAGAGAACACATTTATTATATATATTGTAATAGAAAGAAACAAGCTCTGTTGGTATAGTGGTTAAAGCAATTGACTACTAACCAAAGGGCTGGTGGTTCAAACCTACCAGCTGCTCTGTGGGAGAAAGAGGACGCAGTCTGCTTCTGTAAAGATTCACAGCCCTGGAAACCCTATGAGGCAGTTCTACTGTGCTCTATATAGTCACTGTGAGCCGGAATTGTATTGATGGCAGTGGGTAGGTTTTTTAATAACAAGAGGTTATCTCTTGACTACCACCATAAACAGTATAATATCATTAATAGTCCAAATATAAAGTATAAAGGCATACAGTGGTAGACATTGTTAAAAGTGCTATATACATGCACACACACTCATTTAATCAGCACAAATCTCAGAGGCAGATTATTTCCCCCATTTTTAGATGAGAAAACGAGGCACAAAAACGTTGAGTAACTTTCCTAGAGTCACACAGACAGTTAATGTTGGAGCCAGGATTGAACCACAGGCAATGTGGTTCCATTACCAAACAGATAATTTTAGGTATCTAGTGGTTTGCAATTGGTTGCAAAGATTGGCAACTTGAATCCCCCAGTTGTTCCACGGAAGAAAAGCTTGATGAACTGCTTCTGTAAAGACTACAGCCAAGAAAACCCCATGAAGTAGTTCTACTCTATAATGCATGGGGTCACCATCAGTCAGGGTCAACTCAATGGTAGTGAACAACAACAGTATGCATTTAGCACTGTGCTATACAAGATGGAAAATGTGGAAGAAATAAGGTTTGACCCCTACTCTGGAGGGCTTTCAACATAGTGGAAGAGATAATAAAAACTATCTAATATTTATATAAACATGAATATTATATACTTACAAAAGAAATTAAACTGGAAAACTATTCCTATTCTACTTTAAAGGATTTGTTTAAGGTTTTACTACTTGTTTGTTTCTTCTTCTCTCCATACGTCCCAACTATCCCTTTTCCAATCAAAACCAGTATTTAACAAGCACTAACTGCCTAATTCTAGAATTTCTAATGAAAGTAAAAATAGTAGTGAGACCACAGGAAGAAGTCATATGGAGACAGAAGGTTGGACTACAGCTTTGGAGGAATGAAGTCAAAGGCAAGCACTAGGAGGTTCAAAAAGCTAACCTGGCCTCTTCTATGTGTGAGTTTTCACCCTCCTCTCCCTCTGTTTCATAGTAAAGAGCAATATATATATATATATA